AATAGTCGTTTTGTTATTATCGGGACTAAATTGTATCTCCTCTAGCGCGACCGCGGTGTTTACCATTATCGGTGATTTGACGTAAGCGCTTCCTTTTTGCAGGCGCGGGGTATACGTATACCTGTGCGGCCGAGCGCTATTTGAATTAATATTAATATAAGGTGACGCATGAGGCATGTTGCATGTGAACGACATGATTGCATGAGTTTTAACGCAATAATGTTTTAAGCTTTTTTTTTTTTTTCTTGCGTTAGACGTTCGATTTTCGAACATTCCGCCCGCCTTGCAGTATACCTGCAATCCACTGAGTAGTGCGATAGAGGGGGCGCGCGCTTGTTCACGCGCTCGCGGGTTCCGGACACGAGGAGTTCACGTGCTCCGGCTTAGGTCGCGAAAGGAATGCTGAATCGGTCAGCTGTTTATTTCGTGCGTAGCAGTATAGACGCGTGTCGGCTCTTGTGTCGCGAAGACCGAGCAATTTAGATAAATGAGTCTATTGTAATTTAGGATGAGGCGACTATTTTGGTAATGAGAATGGTGTCGTAATGAACAGAAGGTAGTGATGTGATAGTATGTTGGTGAAATGAAAGTGAGCGTGCAATTGATGAGAGAAGAGCGATGAAGATCTGTGGAAAAGAAGAACAGAATTATATGAGCCGCTTTACGCCGGATTATCGTAAAGTTTCGTGGTCGCCGCCCAGGAACACAAGTTTACTGACGGGGCGCGTTAAACTCGTACTCGCGGTACGTATATCGACGACGCGCACGTGGCCGTCGGATCCGGGATGCAGCCGAGTGATGCGCGCGAGCGGCCACCGCGTTGGTGGGGTGGTTTCGCTGCGGAGTAGACACAGACGCCCGACGTGAGCCTCCTGGTTGACTTGGGACCATTTTGGCCGATGGGCCAGCGTATGTAAGTATTTGCTGGACCACCGAGACCAGAAATGGTCCCTCATCTGTTGCAGGAGCTGCCAGCGTGATAGTCGGGTCGACGGCTCTCGTTCGAGCGACGGCTCCGGTACTGCGGAGAGAGCGGAACCGATCAAGAAGTGCCCCGGTGTGAGAGCTGCGACGTCCTCAGGATCATCGGACAAGGACTGCAGCGGTCGTGAATTGAGGCAAGCCTCTATCTGCGAGAGGAGCGTAGCCAGCTCCTCGTAGGTGAGGGTCGCATCACCGATGACTCGTCGCAGATGGTGCTTCATCGATTTAACCGCGGCTTCCCACAAGCCGCCGAAGTTCGGTGCCGCCGGTGGGTTGAAATGCCACTGGATCTTCTCCTGTGCGGCGAATGAGGCGATGCGGCGTCCGTCGGCACTGGCAGCGGAGAAGAGAGAGTTTAGCTGCCTGTCAGCACCCACGAAGTTGGTACCGCAGTCGCTGTATAAGCTGATGCAGACCCCTCGCCTTGAGATGAGCCGGCGCAAGGCTGCGATAAAGGCGTCGGCGGAGTAGTCCGAGGCTACGTCGAGGTGAACGGCTCGGGAGGCTAAACATACAAAAACCACAATGAACCCTTTAGTAGCTTTGTGTCCGCGGCCCTTCGAGGTCCTCAGCCAAACCGGACCGGCGTAGTCGACGCCGGTGTGCAGAAATGGCCTGCTTGGTGTGACCCTTGGCCCCGGGAGATCGCCCATGAGAGGCTGTGGGATGGCGGCTCGCCATCTTGTGCACCTTACACATCGGCTGATGTGTTTCTTCACCAACGACCGACCTCGAGGGACCCAATACTCCCGGCGCAGGGAGCACAAGGTCATCTGAGTACCGCCGTGTAAAGTTCGCTGGTGGTGATCATCTACGACGAGGAGAGTGAAAGCCGACTCGCTGGGCAGTATTGGCGGGTGAGTTGCGTCGTACGGTAGGTTTGCGTGTCTGAGGCGCCCGCCGACTCGTAGAAGTCCCTCGCTGTCCAGGAATGGGTTCAGTTTCTGTAGGGAGCTTCGCGACGGCAGAGCCGCTCCATTTTGCAGCTTTCTAATGTCTTCTGTAAAGGTTTTAGATTGGATCAACCTTACCCAGGAGATGCGGGTCTCCGTCAGTTCGTCGGAGCTGATCACGCTAGGCTGGCCTTGCGCATGGCGGTGCTGGCGGTGAATCAGCAACCAGCGGCGGCACCAAGCCGAGATCCGTAGCAGTCGCTTCAGCGAGGAGTAGCGCAGCAGTAACTCCGATTCGGGCTTCAGCTCGGTAACGGCGGCGATGTGGGTCCGGACTCGTCTCTCTGGGAGGTCCTCCGCTGGCATCGCCTCGCTATTCGTCGTCCAAGTACCGCTCTCCTCTGTCAGCCATGCGGGACCTTGCCACCAGAGCGGGTGGTCAACCAGTTCGCTAGGGTAGAGTCCCCGGGAAGCACAGTCTGCTGGGTTCTCCCGACCTGGTACGTGATGCCAGTGGGCGTCCGGGATCAGCATTTGGATCTCGCTGACTCGATTAGCTACATAGGTGGCCCACATCGAGGGATGCCCACGGATCCAACCAAGCGTGACGGTGGAATCAGACCACATGTGAAGAGGTGCCTTGGCTGCTCCGATGATCGGTACGGTGTGGGCGACTAGACGAGCCAGAAGAGTGGCGGCCGACAGCTCCAACCGAGGTAGTGATACTTGCTTCAAGGGCGCGACCTTAGTTTTTGCAGCTAAGAGTGCCACCTTAATAAGACCCTTTGTTTCTGTCCTCAGGTATAGCACCGCTGAGTAGGCACGCTCTGAGGCATCGGCGAACCCGTGGATTTCCAGCTGTGAATCAGTCAAACCTCCCAGCCATCGAGGTACGAGCACGTTTTCCAAAGCAGGCAGCTCGTTCTGGAATCGCAGCCATCTTCTCTCGTCGTCGCTGGGTAGCGGAGCGTCCCAATCAAGACCTAGCAACCAGGTGGACTGGATGAAGATCTTGGCTAATACCGTTGTTGGGGCCAGCCAGCCGAGAGGGTCGAACATTTTCGCCGTCAAAGATAATACCGACCTTTTGGTGAAGGTCGACAGCGTGGTCAGTTTGGTTGCGAAAGCGAAGCGATCGTCACGTGGTTGCCAGCGTAAACCGAGAGTGGAGTGACTCTCGCCGGGCAGCCACCATCTGGCCTCTCGTCGAAGACGGTCGTCGGGCTCCACTGCGTTCAGCAGGAGCGAGTGGTTTGCCGACCACTTTTTAAGTGAGAAGCCGCCCGCCCTGCAGATCTCAGTCAGCTGTTGCAGCATTACTTCGGCTTCCTCCATGGTCTCCGCACCGGCCAGGATGTCGTCCATGTAGACGTCGCTCAGCAGGATGAGGGCTCCTTTCGGGTAGCGATGTCCTTCGTCCTCGGCTAGTTGTCGTAAAGTGCGGATCGCTAGATAAGGAGCACAGGATAGACCGTAAGTAACGGTACTTAGCCAGTACTCCTTGATTTCGTCCTTGGCGTTCCCTCTCCACAATATCCTTTGCAGGTTTTGATCGTCGGGGTGCACCAGTATCTGCCTATACATCTTTTCGATGTCAGTCGCGAAGACGTAGCGATGACGTCGCCAGCGCAGCAGGATGTCGGCTAGCGAAGGCAGTAGATTCGGACCAGTTGCTAAATATCTATTGAGGGAGTCTCCGTTCGGCAAGGAGCTCGAGCCGTTGAAGACGACCCTCAGTTTGGTTGATGAGCTGTCCGGACGCAATACCCCGTGATGAGGCAGGTAGCAAGCCCCCGGATGCGATTCAGTTGACGACGGAGCAGGCCTCATGTGTCGCAGGTTCAAATATTGCCGCATGAATTCCACGTACATACCTTGAAATTCGCTGTCTCTCTCAAACTTTTTCTCTGTGTGTTGCAGCGCTCGGCGGGCAGCGCGGATTGTTCCTGAGAGGTCCGGCAGAGAGTCAATAGTGGGCAGGCGCACGATATACCGGCCGTCTGGAGAGCGAGTATGATGTCGGCGATAGTGCTCTTCGCACTCCAGTTCGGCCTTGGTGAGGATCGGAGATGGCCTACGAACTTCCTCCTGCTCCCAGAACCGCCGAACCAAGCAGGTGATGTCCTCCTCGATTTGGCAATGGTGAGTTGCAACACGATGGCCGCGTGCATTCTCATTGATGGTGCCTGAGAGTATCCATCCTAGTGAGGTCTGCTGTGCCACTGGTTCCTGATGACTCCCCTTTTTTAGGCCCTCGCGGATGATTACTCCGTAGACGTCGGCGCCCAGCAGAAGATCTACTGGATCCGCGGAACGGAATTCTGGATCGGCGAGCTCCAGGTCCTTAAGATGGGTCCAGGACTGCAGACTTTGGCGGCATCCTCCGGCGAAGAGAGTGAGCTTCGGCAGGATCAAGGCGGCGACGGAGTTGGACTGGTCGCCGTTGTGCGCTCTAAAAGTAAGCTGAACCTTACCCTTTGCAACTCCCGTTTTTTTCTCGCCGAGTCCATAAACGCTGACGGCGGCGGGCATGCGAGGCAGTCGCAGTCGCTGAACCAATCGCTCCGATATGATGGAAGACTCTGAGCCCTGGTCGATCAGCGCTCGGGCGGAATGCCAGGATCCGTGGCCATCGAGGACGCGGACGCGAGCTGTGGCGAGCAACACCGTGACAGAGGCCGGATGAGATCCTTGCGCTAAGTGTGACGTTGTGGCGGTCTTGGCGTTGCAGAAGGCGTCGTGCAGCGAGGAGTGATGCCGACTGCCGCACGTCGTGCAAGTCTTTTTTGATGAGCATTCCGAAAGCTGGTGTCGACCCAGGCAGTTTGAGCAGAGATTTTGATCGTTGACAAACTGCCTGCGGGCCGTAGCCGTCTTCTCCTTGAATTTGCCACAAAACATTATGAAGTGGTCGCCCTGGCAATCGGCGCACCGACTTCTGGATCTATCCTTCGTTTCAGCTTTCTTCACGTGATGGCTCCGAGTTGTTTTTGCACTGCTAAGGTTGCGGCTGTCGTTCTTGGCTGGAAACAGTGCCTCCAAAGTATGAAGCCGTCGCTCGATGAAGGCTTCCAGCTCGGCGTAAGTAGGCGGGTTGGTCGTATGACTGATGACGCTCTCCCATTCCCGACGAGAACGATTGTCGAGGAGCTCGACGACCAGATGCACAAAGAGGTCCTCCGTGCGATCGATGGGACGATCGATACTCTTCAGCGAGCTGACTGTGGTTTTTACGCCGTGAAAGAGTCGCCCCAGTTCCACTGCGGATTCGCTCTTCATCTTAGGAAGCGCCAGGAAGTTGTTGAGGTAGTTTCGGGTTAACAGCCTTGCGTTCTCGTAAAAATCGCTTAGCGTCTTCCAAGCGATTTCGTAGTTTTCCTCCGTAGTGTTCAGGTTGCGTATCAGTAACTCCGCATCACCCTTGACACAGAGTTTGAGATAATGTAATTTCTCAACAGGTCTGGCTGCCTGGTTCCTGCCAATGATGGACTGGAAGAGGTCTCGGAACGAAGGCCAATCTTCGTACTTCCCGGTGAAGGTCGGCGGTTGAATCTTAGGCAATGCGGTCCGAGGAGCGGCGGCCGGTGTCGCTGCCGAACTTGGTCTGGATGTATGCTCTTGTCGTTGGAGAGCGCTCTTCAGATCGAGCATGAGGCCCTTGTTCTGCAGGTAAGCCTCCTCGCCCAACGAAGGGATATCTTGTTTGGCGTACACCTCATGCCGTATTTCGTCCACACGATCGGCTAAAGTATCGTTAATTGTGTCAAATTTCTCCCACAGCTTCTCGAGGTTTTGAAGCCGGGCCTCCACCGCGCCGAGGGTGATATTGGCCTCGCTGAGCTTCCGAAGGTTCTCGTACGCGCGCGAGATTTTGCCGTATAGCACTGTGGCTGTGGCAATGATTGCCTTAGTGTCTGTCATGTCTAAAACTGTTTCTCTTTTCTAGGAGCACTGGTCACCGACACTGATTCACTATCGCTTCCGTGGCACCGGATTCAAGGGAGGTTCCTGAGGTATCCGGCTCGAAGGACCAAATAATGTGCGCGACGGAAAGCAGGATAGGAAGGTCGGAAGCGAAAGGACAGCGAAACACTGCACTCGACAAACGCGTAACGTGAACAAAAAATATATTTACTCTAAGAACAACACAAATTACAATTGTTTAACCGCACAGAATTTACCAAAAGATAGCCGAGTCGAACGTATTAGAAATAAATGCAATAAACGAGAGAAAAGCCGGGTCGACAATAAATTACTGAATGTCCGCAAGCAACGGTAATTAAACGTGAGAAGCGAAAAGGACAAGCGATCTTTTTCGTAAAGTATAAGCACACTTTTGGCGCGACAAGCAATCGGAAAAGAGCGGCGCGATCACGAGAGAGGAGGTTTTTATAGGCCCGTGTTTCTAGAATAGTCGAGAATAAGTCTCTTTATTCTAACGTTCGGCTGAGGTCGAAAGAGCGTTGCGTGTAATTATTTACTTTTAGAAAAATAGTCGTTTTGTTATTATCGGGACTAAATTGTATCTCCTCTAGCGCGACCGCGGTGTTTACCATTATCGGTGATTTGACGTAAGCGCTTCCTTTTTGCAGGCGCGGGGTATACGTATACCTGTGCGGCCGAGCGCTATTTGAATTAATATTAATATAAGGTGACGCATGAGGCATGTTGCATGTGAACGACATGATTGCATGAGTTTTAACGCAATAATGTTTTAAGCTTTTTTTTTTTTTTTCTTGCGTTAGACGTTCGATTTTCGAACAGTTCGATAGATAGATTGGTAAATAAATCAATATGTATGTGTATATATATATATATATATATATATATATATATAAGAATAAAGGGGGTATCATTAGAATATCGCAAAAAATTTATATATATAGATGGAGAAAATCTTGCAAATTTTAAAATCATCTTTATTTTTCGAATGATACAAAGTTTCACTGTGAATATCACGTTGCAGGACATCCTGCGTATATATACACATACATACATACATACATACATACATTCATATATATATATCCTAAAAAAATCATAAAAATGAAAAGGTCAGGCCATGTTCAAAAGAAGATACTCAAAAATTTAAACGATCTAATAATAAATTATCACGAAAAGTAACTGATATGTTATTCAAGGTGCCAGTTCAAAGTGAACATACGTAAAGTGTATATTATCTAAATTTAGTAATAATATATAATATTACCATGAAAAGTAACTGTGATATTTTATTCAAGGTGCAAGTTCACATTGAATATACATACATATAAGTAAAACTGATTACAATTTGATTCTAGAAAATAAGTGCGATATGTTATTCTTAGTGCACAAAATATAATAGTCGTTTATAGAGATTTGATTTGAAATTCATACTAGCCCGTACAATGAAAAATAATTGCTCGTAATTCCAGAGTACCAATTTGTTAATGACTCAGAAAAATAACATGGCGGCCTGCTCTCAAAAAACTATGATGTTTCTCGATGTCCATTTAGAAATAATGTCGAAGCTCTTACAGAATAATTACTACAACATTTGAAGTACGAAAAGTAATTACATTAGAAGAAGATTAGATTAGAATAAGGATTCAACGTATTTTTAAAAGTTCTACACACAACGAAGTGAATATACAAAACTATATACAAATACCTTTTTCTTCTGTGTTTCTGAAGAAAATTGTAAGTCAAATGAAACCTTGCACTTTGAGAACCATGTCACTTACTTTTCAGAGTCAAATTGATAAATTTTTTTGTATATTTTAATATTTATTTCTCACTTGTATCTTGAATAATTAATATGTAATTTTTTATTGTATATTACGACAAATAATCAGTAAACTTTTTAAGCGTATAGCTTTATTGTAGTTGACCTGAGAACTGTACATTTATAAATTTTACTTAATATACACCCGTTTCGAGCAACAAGGCAAAGTTTTCTGATCAATAACTTACTCCCTGAAAATACGGTATAACACAAATCGGAAGTTGATACGAAAATTCGAAATTTTACTAAAGAAAGATTGGAGGTTTTTAATTTATACAATTTTCACAACTCTTATTTCAATTATTTACTCTACCCATCGAAAGTTTTTTGAGAGCAGGCCGCCATGTTATTTTTCTGAGTCATTAACAAATTGGTACTCTGGAATTACGAGCAATTATTTTTCATTGTACGGGCTAGTATGAATTTCAAATCAAATCTCTATAAACGACTATTATATTTTGTGCACTAAGAATAACATATCGCACTTATTTTCTAGAATCAAATTGTAATCAGTTTTACTTATATGTATGTATATTCAATGTGAACTTGCACCTTGAATAAAATATCACAGTTACTTTTCATGGTAATATATTATTACTAAATTTAGATAATATACACTTTACGTGTGTTCACTTTGAACTGGCACCTTGAATAACATATCAGTTACTTTTCGTGATAATTTATTATTAGATCGTTTAAATTTTTGAGTACCTTCTTTTGAACATGGCCTGACCTTTTCATTTTTATGATTTTTTTAGGATATTATAATCCTGATGACGTCAGCGGACGCGGACAGAGAAGAAGAAGAAGAAGAAGACGACGTTACTTCATTTTTCATGAAAAACGTCACTTTTTGACCACTTGTATCTCCAGAACGGCTTGACCGATTTTATTTTTTCTTGGCTCAAATTACTCGTGGCGATGCCGCCTTTCAAATTATATTACGTGCAATTCAAAATTTTTTATATTTTAATAGTTCTATACTCCCAAAAAATGGACTTTGATGGTGCAGGATAAGGAGACTTGTAGTGTCTTTTAAGGTCTTTTAGGGTTTGAACATGGCCGGAGACACTACCGCGTCTCCTAATAACTGGATTTAAATAATATATATCTTTTCCTTGGTTCTAGCAAAGTTATTGTACGTAATAGTTACAATATAAATAATAAATAATTTACGTTTTTTAAACCATATTTTTATTCAGAACATTTTTAATTCATTATACATTTATTATTTTAGAACTAATGAAAAAAAATTCGAGAAATATGCAATATATATTAACATTAAATATAATTAAATTTACTCTTATATGTCTCTCTCTCTCTCTCTCTTTCTCTCTTTCATATGTAATTATATTATTTACACTTTTTTCTCCCATTTGCAGCGGCTATAACCCTTTTTTCGAAGGAATCGTCTGTTAATCTATTATATTAAGAGTAAATTTAATTATATTTAATGTTAATATATATTGCATATTTCTCGAATTTTTTTCCATTTGTTCTAAAATAATAAATGTATAATGAATTAAAAATGTTCTGAATAAAAATATGGTTTAAAAAACGTAAATTATTTATTATTTATATTGTAACTATTACGTACAATAACTTTGCTAGAACCAAGGAAAAGATATATATTATTTAAATCCAGTTATATTAATATCATCAATCAAACATCTTTGATTAAAATTAAAATTGTATTAATTGTTACACATTGTTAATTAATGGAAATAGAGAAATTATATCGATTTTCTTAAGTCAATTATTAATGGAAGAGATTCGCATTAAATTTGCTATATTTAATCGTCAATTATATATTTTTTAATTGTTTCTGCTCAAATCAATTGTCAATTGAATTGTCTTCAATTGAATCTGTTTTTTTTTCAATGTCTATTAAAGTACTTCTAATTAAAATTAACTTATTAATCGTTTAATTGAAAAACTTTTAATTAAATTAGCTTGTATTAATCGTTTAATCGATCGCTCTCCGATTAATTTCGTTTATATCGATTGTCAATTAAATAATCTTCAATTGACTTCGATCATATTAATCGTTAATTAAGCGATCTTCGATTAATCTAGCTTATATTAATCGTCATTGTAACGATCTCTAATTAATCTTTCTAAAATTAATCGTTAATTAAAAATATTTTAATTACATTTGATTACATCTGTTTGTAATTAAATGCCATAATTAATTTAAAAAGTAATTAATTAATGACCATCTCTGGTTTGAAGATTCCCACTCTGTCTGCCACATGTTTATTGCCTCATCCTGAATAATACTTATTGCTATTTTTTTCTCGGTTTCCGCGGGTATTTCAACGTTCCCGAAATTTATTGCCTGACCTTTCCGCGCGTGGTATCGCGTCGCGTATTCTTTTAGTAGAATGTCAACCGGCATTGCTCCTGCTACTACGCAAAGTGATTGGAAGAATGCTGTCCGATATGCTTTAGTAATCGATATTAGCGCTCTCCGCTGCGCTGCTTTCAAAGTTTTGACGTCCCGTTTTGTGCATAAATCCGCCCAACTTATGACGGCGTACGTTACTTTTGGTACCAGAGCTCCACGGTATATAACGTTTAACACGTCGTATTTAAGTCCCCACTTGGCTCGCGCGACTCTACCTAGTTTTTGGAATAGTGACTCGACGGCTGTTACTTAATTTTTGGCAATCCCTTTTAACTCTCATCTTGTGGTCGAAGTTAACTCTTAGGTATCGGACTGTTCGTTTAAAATTAATTCTCGCGTTTTCTATCTTTATTGTTGGCAGCGTATTCTTGAAGTCGACGCTTTTTCTACCGTTAGACTTTCGCTTTCTATCCGGTCTGTCTCCTCGTCTTCCGATTAAGAGTGTCCCCAAAGTCGGAACGGCCAAATATTTCAAAAATAAATCACTTAAGAGAAAAATGTTTCCTGCAAAAGTTGTAGAATTCAAAATAAGATACTCGACGATGAGGATACTCTTATAATTTGACCTCTATTCTCTACATTTGATCCTCGTGTAAAGGTCAAATTATCTCACTACCAGATATCTTTCTTGTACGCTAAAACACTCATGCAACCATTTTTATTTTTTTAGAAACAGACTCCTATTGCTTCGCAAAAAAATTATTTCGGCCTTGAAATAACCCCCAAAGGTCATTTTAATCCTTCCTCATGACCACATGTTTCAACGTGACATTTTTGTTCTTTCCAATTCTGATATCAAAAATAGATAGTCCTATTAAAAAAAATCAAGTTGTCTTTGATTTGACCTTTTAATTTGACCTCAAGATCAAGTTCAAGAGCACCATCAAGTGCGCACGTTCAAATTCTAAAACTTTTGTATTTAACATAGGAAGTATGAGAAATTAGAATGACACAATTAAGATTAATAAAGATAAACATTTTGATGTTAAACGCAAGAATTAAAATTTACATACTTTCTTAATAAAAGCGCAGTTAGTTGACATTGTTGTCATTATTAAACAATGT